AGGGCTGCAATAAAGGCATCAGAGGGCTGATTAATATTATGGAAAAAGTTGTGAAAATGCAACGAACTGCTATGAAGAGGGAGGGAAGAAAATGGAAAATGCACCCCAAATATGGGATCCACAAAAGAGAAGATTAGAAAAACGACATGGGGTAAAATTTAGGAAGCTTCGAAGATCAGGCAGGAGAATATTTAATTGACTATGTGACAGGCAATAGTAGTTGGTGGCTGTTTTTTGGTAGGCTTAAGAGATAACAAAACCTGCATTTAGAGATTTAGAGATTGCTGTCACATGGCTAGCATTTATTTAGAGCTGCGAAGAGCTTCATATATACCAATTCATTTGATCTTTGCAGATCTCTCTGAGAAGCTATTATGTTACCCATTTTAGTCACAAGACCTTAAATTGACTTGCCAACTCATGTGGCCGGAAGGAGTCCGTTCCCAAACCTAGACAACGTGAAGGCAGAGACTAGACTAGATCACACACAGTCTTGTGCACTATGATCCTACTATAGAAGGGGCTGGAGAGTGAGGAGGCCAAAAACAGCAGAACAAGGAAAAACGAATGTAGGACATAGCCACTTTCAGGGAGGACCTAAGACTCTCTTTTAGGAAGATCTCTGCACAGTCTGCTCAAGATATCACAAAGGTGCTCTGGGCTAGCATGGTGGAGTACATAGGGAAAAAAAAGGGTAATGGAGTGCAGTGCAGTTTGGATATGGAACTAAATTAGGAGAGAGTAAAAATACTTCAAGATGTCCAGCTGAGCTATTGGGAAAGATGTGCTATAGGAGGAAAAAAAAAAAAAAAAAGACTGAAGTTTTATGAGTGTTTTGGTATGAACATCAGTGTATGTTTCAAAGGTCAGAACTCAGACTGATCATTGCTATCGAGATTACAGATAAAACTAAACAATCCATGTGCTTTCTCAAGAAATTGAGTGTAGAGACAAAAAAGCAGAGAGATCACTACAGGTTTTATGCATAATTCAGAGGTAAGAAGACAAGAACAAATGATTTTACGTAAAGAAATAAAAATAAAAGAGTATAATTAATTTGGAAGTTAATGGGGGGCCAGCACTCAAGGAAAGAGAACATTAAATGCCCTCAGGCATACGAAAATTCAGGAAATAATGATTAGAACATGGTCACTAAGGTTCTTGAACATACAAATTCAGTAGGGTAGGGTAACAAATTTAGTAGGGTAGGATGCAACAAAGAAATGGAGGACTTTCTCTTGTTTTTGAAATAAGGGTTATATGTGCAACCTTTTACAAGACAAGGGAGGGTAGTATGGATCTAGACCCTCGAAGGTGGAGGAGGCACAAAACTGAGATTTGAGGAGGGATGAGTTCCAAAAAACTCTTAACTGATAGTTTATATTGTATGCCTGCCACATATCCATAGACTAAGACGAATCATCAGAATCCCTTCACTGCTCAGTATCTCTGATACATTTAAGACTAAGCCTGATTTTGCTCTCAGATTTCAATATAGCCATGTTGATCTTGTCAATTTTAGTCTTATAAAGATACTGGGACTTTTTCTTTCCTTATACTAGGCTGTTTCTTTATTCTTCAGTTTACAAAACTGTTCTAAAAATAAGATTGCAACATGTATAGAGTAGGAGTTAAATCTCTGAATTATGTGTAAACCCACAGAGCCAAGTGCCTTACCCGCTGCCTCAGGAGCACTTAGGTTAAAGCTGTTATTTTGCAAACATATAAACATTTTAGTTCTGGTTTTCGTTTACCACTGAAACTCACTGAAGTTTACTTTCTTCATTTAATTGACTAACAGCAAATTGGGGAAGTTATTACCTGCATACAAGCACCCTTTAAAAAAATTAAAGTGCTTACTTGAAAAAGATCAGAAAATCATCCCATGCTGTTATCTCATTTATGAAGTGGAGCTGGAACAGGGTGTTCTCTTCTGTGATATCACTTAGATATCACAGCACTTGATATGGTCTATGATAGTCCAGAAATTTTACTTCTTTTATATATAAGTGTGTGCATGTATATATACACACACATTCATTTTATGCTATTTCTAAGGGATGTTTTCTAGGGACTTCATGCTTTTTATAGATTATAGCTGAACACTTTCTGACCGGTATTTTTGACTCTGATTCCTAAGAGAGTTCTGTGGAGCCAGGAGGTTTATACAATCTTACGTAGATAAAGTCAATGGCATCAGATGTCACAAATGTGGAAGCTACCACAGCACTTTGGAAAAAGGTCAAAGTTCTGCCAGCATTTACAAAAGATAATTTGTTACTTGACATTGTTAATATCACTTGCTAAGTATTTCATGAATTTTGCATAACATTGGTAATTTTAAATAAATCTTAATTTCCCTATGATATTAAGTATAGAACACCAAGAAGGAAATTAAAGCTTTTCCTTTCCTCCTAAAAGACTGTTAAATTATACCATCGCTCAATTATACCATCATTTCTTTTCCCTATTCGTGAAAAGAACAATCCATTAGTAGTTTGTAAGACATGCCTTCAGATAAAATAAATTGAAATAATTATTTGTTTAATAGCCCATATTTGACTCAATAGTCCATATTTTAAATAATATAATATTTATATTACTTTTGTAATATCAGCTTATAGTATTTCCAAGTATGAAAAAATGATTTGTAGAAATCTTTTTATGTTAATGACAGTATATGAGAACATAAACATGAACATGAAAGAGTGCAAAGTAAATTTTAAATTAAAGTAGAGGTATAAAAATGGATTAAACACTCATACATTTGCATTTTAACTGCAATAATAAAATTACTTAAAACCAGTGTTTCAAGAAACAGCAGGTATGTGTATATAATTTCCTTCCTCCTGTCCAAGTTGTGTCAACATATCAGCATAATTTAGTACTCATGCCGAATGCACAACCTCCCATATTAAGTTCTCACATCAAGTTTTGGAGGCTAATTTCCTGGGTTTCACCAAATCTCATCCTGGGTTTTAATCGATGACTTGACGCTGAAGCTGTTCTTTGTCAGCACAGCTACCGCTAATACCATAATTCAGTGCATTTTTGTGCACACGCGCACACACACATGCGCGCGTAGACGCTTGCAAAATGCACAGATCTTTTTGCGTGTGAGGAAATGTCGTGTCCTAAACGGAATAAATTGTGGTAGTGAGTGGGGATGGTGAAGACTATTTTCAGTATGTTTCTGCATTTTAAGGAAGTTTTAGTGTCGCTGCGGTGAGAGTAAATTTTAAAATGACTAAATAGCAGAAAAAGAAGTGTCAGAGAATACTATGTGAGTTATCGCCACATGACTGATTGAGACAGAAAATGCTATGAATTAAACATTTCAAGCAGTCTGGAGAGTAAATGATGTTAGAATTCTCCCTCCAAAGGGTGGATAGGACCTGTATGAGAATAACAGCTAACATTTACTGAATGCTTGCTAGCTATGTGCAAACACTGTTCTAAGCGCTCACATTTATTCATCTCTATAACCAGGAAGATAAATATTCAACTAAACCATATTCAACTTATGTTGAATTTCAAAAAATACTAATTTCGTGTGCTTCAACCTAATACTATTGTTTTTACCCCCATTTTACAGATAAGGAAACTGAGGTATAAAGAAATTAAATAACTTGCCTAAGTTTCAGTGGTTAGCACAGGACCAAACTGGGGACTAAACCCATAGGATTCAGTGTCATTCTTAAACACTTCACTCTGCTTTGTTGGAAGAAGCCACTATACTTGTTCAGTGTGGGGACAAGATATGGGAATCTAAGTCATAGATTAAAATCTGCTACACATAACTCTGTTAGTACTTTATAAGATCCTTGACAACATATTTTCTACATTGGTACTCTACATACTCCACACATAGAAGGATATCAAGGGCATTTTAATAATTACACCAAAGTTGCCAGGGTTGGTGATGAGCACTGTTTTCCTGGAACAGCAATAATCAAGTGGGTATGTAACTAGATGGAAGATACTGCTGTTCAGACATCTGCTTTCAAATTAATGTAGCAAAATAGAAGTTACAATGTCAATAGCTTTCAACCCAGCTGGAGTCCTTGCCATAGGAGAGTCATCATGTCGGAATCCAGCCAGTACTGGGGTTGGATAGATTGTATGCTTAAGGTCAGGGACAGATGCTGATGGACACATCAGCCAAGTGAGGGGAATTAAAATTATTAAATTATATTATTTTTTCATGTACATCATTATTGACTCTATACTTCAAATACAGTGAAAGATTTGCAAAATAGGCTAGATAGCCCAAATCCAACTTAAAATCTAGGCCTTTTAAGGTCACAAATAACATAAAATCCTTTGTTCCTTTTAAAATTAAAGGGCACTCGTGGCATATTTGGTCTTGGTATTCAAGGAGTGGCTATACAATTTCTAAACTACTACATAGAATAGTCTTAGGATCAGAAGAAACGCATTCCTATTTTGACTGTTTCAAGATTTTTTCTTTGTCTCTGATCAAACCATGGCATTATGGAAACTACACAAGATTGGAGTAAGAAGACCTGATTTCTCTATTACCTGCTACTAAATTGTCACGTAACATTGAGTCAGACATCTGTTTTCTCTAGGACTCATTTCTACCACCGAAAACAAATAGAGATGGGGTTAGATGACCCTAACTCTAACAGCTGATAATTCAGTGTACTCATTTCAGGTTTTTGTGTTTCAACTTTCCCATTTAAAAAAAAAAAAAAAAAATCTCCCCATCGACAAATAAGGCAGAGTGAGTCCTGGCCTTTAGAAGAAAGGCATGATACACAGATAGTCTTTTGATATTAAAAGCACATACCTTAGAGTTAGGGAGATTTTCTGCCCCGACAAGTACCTTCCATCACAGTTCCTTTTCAATTCTGTAAATATTTATTGAGTTTCTTTCATTAAGAACTAAAGTAAAATGTGTTCCTTAAGAGTTATATGATAATTGCTATTGCATTAGTCCTTAAGATTCTTATAGTGAAGTAGTAATGTGTATGTTCATGTGTATTTTCTTCTCATACAGTCTCTTGAAACTGGTACATTATCATAGCTTTCGGCTTCAACACCCTCATCAGACACCTTTACATTTAGAAGACTAGCCATCATACTTCATTTGCATGTAACTCTGTCTTAATATTGAGCTTGTGAGTATTGGAAATAAGACTTTTGGGGAGCTAATGAAAAGTTTTTCAAGGACAAGTTGTTGTCAAAAGTACTGGTCTAACATCGTTTTAGCAGCTCCAGTGAGCCCAGTGAAAATGCATTGCAAGAGCATGGGATTTTGTAATAGCATTTTAGCTTGGTGCCCTGTTCTTCTCTGAGGAATTTCCTTATTCTCTGCATTAAGCAATAAGTAATGTATCCTGAAGATATGAAACTTAGTTTGACTTCTACCAACTAAGTGCAGAGGTGACAGGGGAAAAAAAAAAGAAAAGACCATAAGAGCATGGTGTAAAAGAAGACTAGTCTAAGAGTCAGAGACTAGGATTTTCATGATGGTTCTGCTGCTCTTGGAGTACTCGTGGGCCAGCCACATCGTTCCTCAGAGCCTCAGCGTGCTCGCCTAGAAAATGTGATAATGTTTGGTGTCCTTTCCCAATTCATCATTCTATGAATTGATGCTTCCTGGTGAGGGAAACAAATAGGTCAGATTGTTCCTGTATTCATGGGTCTGTTTGGGCTCATTTTCTGTGAAATACTGTTCTTCCTCTTCCTCAAACACAAAGATGGAGCTTTCCATTGTGGGCACTCTTCCCAAGGTACTTAATTGGGAATACTGCCTGCTACCAAATCACCTTTGTTTGCTCTGGTTACCATAGCTTTACAGACTTTTGGCTCAGAGAGTGAAAGCCATGGACAGAAACTGGGGGAGCATCTATAACTCCTTCAATTAATAGACACTGAAATTGACCCTGAGGGGTTTGGTGACTTTCCATTCAGTCTCACAGCACCTCAAACAAGGGACCAGATTTCTAATACAGGGTTTTGTGATTCTGTCATTGGTACTTTTTCCACTTGTTTAGCTTCACTACATGGGGCATTGATGATTTGTAATGAATTCCACAAAATAAAAGTAAGACAACTTCCTTATTTCATCCTTTTATTCTAAAAGTAGTAACTTAATAATGTTAGACTGTTGTAGCTTTTGGAAACCTGTCCTATTCTGTTGCCACAAATATACTGAGTTAGGGATTGAGAAGGATTTTGAGAGAGAGCAAAGAGAGAAAGTGAATGAGCAGTGGGAGAGGGGGCACGGGGAGGGAGAAAATCTTAAGCAGGCTCCACACCCAGTGCAGAGCCCTACTCAGGGCTCCATCTGACGACTCTGAAAGCGTGACCCAAACCAAAATCAAGAGTTGGACGCTTAGTCGACTAAGCCAACCAGGTGCCCCAGGATTGAAGATTTTGAAGAGAAGTCAAATTTGTGTTTTTCATCGAGAAGCTTTTCCTTTTTCTTAATTTAATAAATGTTAAGTGATCGTCCTCTGAAGTGTCCAACTTTTGAAGAAAAGCTAAAGCTTTCAATGCTGCCACATTTTTTCTCGGTTTTTCTGTTTTGTCTCCTCAGCCTAACTGAGGGCAGAAGAGAAGTTAATGTTCAAGCCGATAACCTTTTGGAAGAGGTTTAATAAAATTTGCTTAATAAGTTGTGTTATAACTGTTGCAGTATGACCCGAGGGTCACTCTAAAGCTTGCCAACCACTGGCCTCAGCTCACCAGTCATGTCTGCAGTATCACACACTGATTCCCTTTATAAAAGGTTGACTAAAAGAGGTTGCTATAATAATTTGTTGAAAACATGTCTGTTGCAATTGTATGGCAAGTTTGCAAAAGTTCTCCTGAGCAAGGTCCTTGAGCTTGGCCCTTGCAGTGGCTAACCAAAAGTTCTAAACGCCCAGAAGTGCCCATATTTACTACAAAGAAATAACGCAAACTTGTTTTCTTTTTCATAGCAAGCTGTCCTTGAAGAAGGTACAATTGCCTTTCAGAATTGGGTTAAAACAGGCACAGAAGTTTATAGACAGTTTTGGATCTTTGACGTGCAAAACCCACAGGAAGTGGTTGTGAACAGCAGTAGAATCAAGGTTAAACAGAGGGGTCCTTACACATACAGGTGAGTCCCCACAAATAAGCGGCGTTCTTTCCTTGACCATTTGTATTTCTGAAAAGATTTCCATTTGCAAAATGACCTTGTTTTCAGATGTACTTCTTATTTTTTCCAGTAAGGCATAATGAAATACTTTGTTTCTGCCTATAGAGAATCCCAATCTAAGGATTTAATTTAAGGATTTAATTATAAGATATACAGATTTTATTGGAAATTTGGCAGCATCAAATAACTGCCCTACATTTAAGAAGTTATAGGTGTTTTGCACTTGTGACACATATTCTCGGCAACTCTGAAATATGCATGCTTAGTAGGAAAAAATTTATCAGAATTTTAAAAAGCAGAGTATTTTAAAATCCAAAAATTGACTGTATACATTATACCGGTGGTTCTCGAAGTGTGGTTCCCACCTCAGCAGCATCAGCCTCACCTGGGAACATGGTAGAAATGTGAACTCTCAGATCTCACCCCAGGTCAAATGAGGCAGACTCTTAGGTTGGAGCCCAGCAGTGAGTTTTTACAGACCCTCTGGGTGGTTCCAGTACATATCCAGTTTTAAAAACCACAGCATTAAACTGATTTTATGTAACTACAGTATATGTTAAGGATTTCTATTGAAACTAATTTCCAAGTCAGACGGGTATTTGTCTTGATTTAGTGGTTTCATCCTTCTGTTTCTCCAGGACTGAGACTGAAGATGTTACTCCTATATCTTATATTCTCTAATAGTTTAACACACTTTTGAATAGAATCTTCGGATATTAGAACTAGAGGGGAATGATTAGCCAGAACTTTTCATTTTGTAAACTAAAAAAACTGACACCAGGGGAAGTGAAGTGATTTCTCCATGTTCACGCAGACCTGGGAACTGGTGACTCCTAGATTTTTGAATGTTTTTTTTTTTTTTTTGATTTAAATTACAGACTATGTGTTTTTTCCAACTATCAAGGTAGGAAAATTGGGGGTGGGGAACTGAGGTGCTAAAGGCACTAACCATCACCAGGATAAGGAATACATTTATGATATCCATGTGGGAACATAATTAAGTCCTGCTGTATCATTTGTTATACAAATGTGTGATTTTCCTTCAAGGATAATTACAACTCGTTACATAGCATGATCAATTCTTATCACAAAATTTCATATTTACAATGATTTCTTAAAATTCATAGTTTTAGTATCTTATCTGTTTTAGTCCATAATTATATAATTTATTTCTTCACACATTAATGTTTTTAGATTGACAACTCACACTCAAAATCTAACATAATGGCCCTTGTGAAGGTAGTGTCTGCTGCCCTAGCATATGATATATATGCTGCTGAGGGCCTTGGTGACTCTTCTGTCCTAGCCATTGTCCCCAAGACTCTCGTCTCTGCGCACATGTCTGTGACGATTCATAGTGCTATTGAAAAACACTTGGTTTTCATTGTTACCCCCCAAAAAAAAAATCTTGGAAAATATTTTCATTTTTTTCATGGTCTTAGAGTTCTCATATTATTATCAAAAGTCTATATGAGTAGTTTGTTCCCCCAAAAATACTGTAACAATGATGCATACCTATGAAAATCTAGAATTCACATGTGAGCTAATGAAAATCTAAGAAAAATTATTAAAAAGATTATAACCTGAGTGAACTGAATACATGTGAGGAAAGCACATAGTTATTAGAATTTGAGAACTTTTCTGTTTTTTTGTTTGGGGGAGGGTCACTTTTTCATTTTTAAGGATATTACTTGAGATGTGGAGAAATATAAACATAATACTGAATCCAGCCCGAGTCCTGCTCTGATAGGTGACAGCTAATACATATTTCCTTTTTAGAGACTTTAATCTCTCTCTCCAAGGGGCAGAAGGGTTAGATATACTTGATTTACTTGGAGAGGCAGTGAGGGCAAGGTTGAATTAGGGAAGCTGGATTTGCAGCTCAAGTTTATAAACAATAAATTCCCATTTATATAACAACGTTAAAAGGATTTCTAATCAACTAGTGGTCATCCTGGCTTATGATGTCACCAAAATGGAACCATTAGTGTCTGTTTGGATGCCTTAAACAATGGGAAAACAATTGGTTACCTTTCAGAAAAAGTTAATTTCAGAGTCTTCCTAACAGCTAATAGGTTGAGGCGAACTTGCCTCCACATAAATTATACCCTGAACGCAGTTGAAACTGGAAGGGTGGAAAGATGTCCCTCCTCAGAACCACCGGCTCATTTGGCCGATGTCTGCTAACGTGAGTTCAGTGAAACTTTGATTGACAAGGTATAATATGGGTCAAAGCATGAAATTGCCTGGATTGAGATCTTAATTATATGTATTACAATTTCATTGTCTCTATGAAGACTCAGTAATTCCTTGAGAATTTTCTTCGATCCAACATTATTCTTTCTTATTGTTGTTTTTAAGTTACTTTGCTTTGGCAGGAGTACAAAGAAAGTAATCTGGGGAAAAATCTAAGGCAAATTTCTCCCTTTGACCTTATTAACTAACACTTTGCAAAACGTATACATTCTATTTTTTAAACAAAAGAAGTGAGCAATTACATTCTCTTTCTAAAAACACAGGCCTCAGTGCAAAGGATTTGTCTCTTAGTGCCATCTACTGGTATGATGTTGTTAGTACAACTTAAGTAAGCTAGAATCTGGGTCACTTACGTTGCTATTGTTTCAATTATTATACATAAGTCTTCCTGAAAATTAAAGTGCTCCAATTCTAAATGTTAATAGCAAGTTGTCTAATTTTAAGATATAATTCCATAAAAGAAATTAGTAGTTGACTAGTAATAGACTGTCCTGGATGCTGCTTCAGATTTGTATATTCCTGGTATGTCTACAGTACTCCAAGAAGAATAAATAATAAACCGTTGACAAAATTATGTTAAAAATAAATGATCTTTCCATCTTACTCTGAACTCTTTTTTTTTTCTATTTATTTTTTTTTTAATTTATTTAATTGAAGAGAGAGACACAGCGAGAGAGGGAACACAAGCAGGGGGAGTGGCAGAGGGAGAAGCAGGCTTCCCGCCGAGCAGGGAGCCCGATGCGGGGCTGGATGCGGGGCTCGATCCCAGGACTCTGGGATCCTGACCTGAGCCGAAGGCAGACGCTTAACGACTGAGCCACCCAGGCGCCCCTTGAACTCTTTTGAACAAATGTGATCCATTAGTTAATTTATTCATCCAAAAATTATTGATCAGTAACTCACCATGTGCCAGGCACAGTGCTTGGGGATACAAAACACCCATAATTCCTATCCTACAGGAATTTCCTTTTTTTAAAGGATTTTATTTATTTATTTATTATTTATTTATTTATAGTGTAAGAGAGTGTGCATGCATAAGCATGAGCAAGGGCAGGGGGAGAGGAAGCGAGAGAATCTTGAGGGGACTCCATGCTGAGCATGGAGCCCAGCCTGGGACTGGATCCCACCACCCTGAGACCATGACCCCAGCCGAAAGCAAGAGTCTGGTCCCCAACCAAATGAGCCACCCAGGCGCCCCCAGGAATTTACATTTTTATTATACTTGAGTGAATTGTTGTATCTTTTGTTTTTACATTTTTTTCAGTCCCATGTTTTTTCAGTCTTTACCTTAGCTAGCTATTCATCTCATGTATAGACATTCACATATATGGTAATGCAATGAATGATACCTTATTTTGTCTCAATAAATATCCTGTACTTGCAAAAGATTTTTTTTTATAATAATCATCCTTCACCATGTTCCTAAAAAGTAGTTGGTACTTTTTAGCCTAGAGATATTACAGCCAAGAGCTTAGAACTAGTAAGTATTTAGTATATAGCAGGAGTGGGGAGGGGAACTGGCCTGTAAAATGGAAATTTATTGCATTAGTTATCTTTCATTCTCATTAAAGTACTGGAAAATATGTAAAAGCCAGTGCTTCATAGGCTATGTATGTTGAGCATTCTTTCTAATATAAGAAAAGGGACTCTTAATATTCCCTGATGGGAACCTTTCTACTGTCTCCTCCTTACCCTCAGGATGAAGGCTAAATACTAGAGGATAGGATGCAACCCTTTTATGTTTGAGATCTTGCTTATTTTGATGGCTTTATTTCCCACCATTCTCTTTAATCTCATTCTACAATCCAAACACATTCAACAATTTGCGTTTTTAACAATACATGATGGGGCTTTTTACCGTTTCTCCTAATTTAACTTCTATTTGTCAGACCACTTATGTGGAATTGCTACCACATTGTATCTTGACCCTTTCTCCCACCATGATCGTCCTAAACCTGGATTTGTATCTGTTCTGGGCTTTCCCATGGATTCTGTGAAAACTCTTATAGTAACACCTATTACTTCTCCCATCTATGCAGATTTAAGATCCCCTTCTCTAATTTGCCCAAGACCCAGCATTGGCTTATTTATCATTTTAAACCAATTGGTTAGCATAATTTCTGACATATTCTATATACTCAAAAATTATTTGTTACCTGAATGAATGGCATTGGAGACCTGTTCACTTGAGGCAATTATTCTGAATTTTATTGGTTTGTTTTTCAGAGTTCGTTATCTAGCTAAAGAAAATATAACCCATGACTCTGAGAGCCACACAGTCTCTTTTGTCCAGCCAAATGGTGCCATCTTTGAACCTTCGCTTTCCGTTGGAACAGAAAACGACACTCTGACCGTTCTCAATCTGGCTGTAGCAGTGAGTAGACTAGATAAACAATAAAATTATTTGTTTTGAAATACTCTAGAACCGACTAAAGTTAATCTCATGATTAGAACTATCATCAGATACTCTTTATCTTGTCATTTTTATAAAAATATATTCCTATGTCATTATTTTGAATGGAGTTAAGGTCATTTGGAAAGAAGACAAAATCAGAACAACGGAATTGGAAGACCACTTAAAGTATATCACTATGGACTCTGAGAAACAAACTGAGGGTTCTAGAGAGAAGGGGGGTGGG